GAGGTGAATTTCCCGGAGGCCTGCCCGGCCCCTCTCCACACTGTTGTTGTTTATTTCCTGTCCCCTCCATCCGTCCCCTGCCCTGGCGCACGGAGGCCGCAGGGCAACATTGGAGGGTCCTGAGTGGCGCAGAAGGCCTGAGTGGCCCAGAAGGCCTGAGGTTCATGGGAAAGAAGGGCGTGTAGGTCCCCGGGCCCGCGGGGACTCAGTTCATGGATTCTCCCCTCAGCAGGCAACCACATCCCATCCAACCGTGGGCTGGGCTGGGGCCAAGAGGGGACCCACCCGAGGCTCTACAAGGAGTGATGTTCTGATGGCAGAGGCAAGTGGGGTCTTCTGTCCCTTGGGGGCACTGAGGGAGGGAAAAGAGCATCCTGGGCCCCAGATAGACAAAGCTGCTGCTCTGAGGCCCAGCTCTGCCCACACTGTGCAGGTGGCCCTCGGTCTGTGTGCATCTCCTGGGCCCAGGCCCTCCTGCTCTGAGGGTACGGTGACCAGCCAAGTCTCCACTGTCATCAGCTGGTGGTGTGGCCCCGGGGAGGAGGAGCTGGCACTGCGACCTGGCGCTCTGAGAGGCTCACCTTTCACTCTGCCGCGGCTCCGGAGCTCCTCCATCCCGCCCTGGTTGCGTTCGGGCCTGCAGGCTTCCGGACTCTCCACACCTGCTGCCCCTTCCCCAGGACCACTCCTGGGGGCAGGCAGCCCCCTAAAAGGGGCCCCTGGCCTCCGCCTCCTCACCCAGCCAGGGCCTCTCTGTGGCGTCACCTGACTCTGCAGTCCCGACCCTGCTGGCCCAAGCTCCAGGAGGCCCTGGCATTTCATCTCAGCTGATACCCATCTTCCCCTCCAGGCCTTGGCCAGGAGCCAGGCTGCGCCCAGCGTCCCCACATTCAGGCCTAGACCACGGCCCCTGGCAGCCACCTCCCGCCTCACTACCTTCTTGTTCTTGTTCCATGTTTATGTTATTTATTTATCTATTCACGCATTTATTTTTGCAGGACTGGGAATCAAGCCCAGGGCTACTCTACCACTGAGCTACGGCTTTATCTTTTCTTTTTGAGACAGGTTTCATCACTTGGTTGCCTTGAACTTGCGATCCTCCTGCCCCAGCCTCTTGAGTACCTAGGATGACAGGCCACTGGGCTGTCGTCATGTATATGTTATGGAAATGCACAGACCCTAGACCCTATGTGCGAGAGCAGTGGATTCCCACCAAGAAACACGTATCACCAGCATCCGATCAAGAAATGACAACCAGCTGGGCCTGGTGGCCCAGACCTGTGATTCCAGCTACTAGGGAGGCTAAGGCAGGAGGATCATGAGGCCCTGTCCCAAAAGATAAAAAGGACTGGGGCCGTGGCTCAGCGGCAGAGTGCTTGCCCAGCATGTGTGCGGCGCTGGGCACCATCCCCAGTACCTGCTGCCAGGAGAACGTTAATAGAAGTGACAAGTAAAGCCTCCAGAGTACCTCGCTAAAGACGTTTGTCTTGAAGCCAGGTGTGGTGGCCCAGGCCTGGGATCCCAGCTACTCAGAAGGTGCGGGAGAAAGATCACTGAGAGCAGGGTTTGATAGCAGCCCGGGCCCCGTAGTGAGGCCATCTCAAAATAGACATTTGCCCATTAGCCTTGGACACTCTCCCCTCCTCCCCATTAGCTGGGAAGCAGCAGCCACCAGAGCACTTTGCAAACCACATGTGGGGGTGGCCGAGGGCCCCACTGACCTTGGAGCACTGCCCCTGGGACTGCGCTATGAGGCATTATTCTACATTATTTAAGCCTTTTGATTTGGGGTCTTTTTGCTGTACTTTAACCTACATAAGTGGGAACACTTGATTTCCGCCACTCAGCGGCAGGTCTCCTGTCTGATCTTGACGTTGGCAGGGGCTGGGAGGAGCTGATTTGGGCAGGTGGGCCAGGGCTGTGAGGACAGACTTCAGGACCATTTGCCTTCACTCCGTACGGACCTCCCTGGCTTCCTCCTGTCATGGCTACCCTGGAGGTGAGCACTCTACCCCTTCTCACCCCGCTGCAGAAGCTCAGGTCACTCCTGAGTCAGGGCCCCCAGCCCGGCCCCTTCCTGACCTTCAACCTCACAGCAGAATTCCCAGCATGCCTTGTGTCGGGCTGGCCCAGGTCTGGACAAGTGAACCACGAAGCCAGACTTTCAGGGGCAGGGCCCACGCTCGCCCACTCTCAGCCTCTCTTGGGCACTCAGAGAGGGGACCTTCCAATTTAATATTTAATCAAGAAGTTGAATATTGATTCGCCAATGGGAGGAAATGATCTCCCCTGTCCTCATCCTGCTGGGAAACCGACTTCTGTCCTCCCCGGGTCGGCCAGCCTGCAAGGCTCACTGACAGCCTGGCTGCTCGAGCCCCTGCCGGCCGCTCAGTGCCCCCAACAGAGGGAAGGTCCGCATCATCCTCCTCAGTCTTGGACAAAGACCTCTGAAAACACAGTCCCGGAAACAAGCCGAGAAACTAGCAAAGGGTCTGAGGCCGTCCCCAGGGCCGTTCCACTGAGCCTGTCCCCCCTCTTCTCTCCCAGAACTCAGTGTAGAGCTAATGTTCCAGCTCCTTCCCAGAGGCAGCGGCCGAGGCTGCCAGGGCATCAGGCAAGGCGAGCTGGGATGGGGCTGGAGGAATCAGGCCCAGGAAGGACAGGGGTCAGACCCCTTAGGCTGCTGTGGGGGCTCAGGGAGGACACGGGACTCTGGGCCGTGGGACTTGGCGCGGGGAGGTAGTGAGGAGTTATGCCCCTACCCCAGGCTGGCTCTGGACTCATCCCCAGCCAGCCTTCTTGCTGCCCTGAGCTCAGAAAGCCAAGGCCTGGGTTCGAATCCTGACACTGCCACCTAGTTTCTTAGTCTCGGTTTCCCCACATGGTAAGTGGGGGGGCAAAGATAACACTTGTAATAACTAAAAAGTTATGAAAAGATAGGTAAAAAGATTGGAGAAATGACTTGACTTAGAATCCATTGTCTTCACGGGTCATTCACTTGGTTCCCCGCCACTTGGTTCATTTGATAGTCACAACCCTGTTAGGAGGCGGGCACCACCCAGCTTCTCCGTGCAAAAGAGAAGCCAGGCAGAGCCCTGGCCAGGGCTCAGAGACAAGGAGGGAGGCAAAGAGGATCTCTGGGTCCCCTGGCCTCCTTTGGACAGCAGCCCGGAGTTTCTCCCAGCCTAGATGAGGTGCAAGACTACAGCATAATGATGGGTGGGGGCCTCTGGCGGGCTGGGGTGAGGGTGCTGGGCTCCTCCCAGCCTGGAGGGCAACCAGCCTTTCTCCTATTCCTCAGCCCCCCCCTCCCCTCCGCGTACTCTGCTGGATCCCACCTCAATCCTTACAGCAGCTGCATCCAGAGGCCTGGCATGGGGCAGGCGGGGCAGGGTGGCGCCCCTACCATCCAGGCTGCTGGATGGAGCAGCCTCACCAGAACATGGAAGGGAGAAAAGCAGCCTCCTCCCCTGCCCCTGTGCTGCCCAGTTTCTCAGAGGTGGCTGCCAGAGCATCGAGAGTTCTCCCTCCCAGTCTTGGACGGGGCCCTGCCTGGCAGGATGCGAGGAGGGTCTGGGGCCAAGGCTGCCTCCTGGATCCTATTTCCAGGACACGGCCCTCTGGGAAGGCCTGCACACTCTTGGCCACCTGCAGTCCTACAGATGGGGTTGCGGCTGCCTGCTCTGGCTGCCTTTCTGGGTCAGGGTCAGGGGCCAAGGATCTCTTACTGGCACTCTCTGGGTAGAGACAGGCCAGGGCTGTCCCTTCTGGGTCCTCAGCTCTGCAGGGACAGACAGCGCCCACATAGCTGCATGAATGCCTTGCCCCCACAATATGATCCTGAGCCCACCTCCAGGAATGACCCCAGCAGACCCTCCCCTTCAAGATCTTGGTGGGGACAGGCCAAGAACCCAACAATCATGGATGATGAGCTGTGGGGCTGGAGGAGGGGTACTCGGGAGGCTTCCTGGAGGAGATCTCGCACTGTGGGGAGAAACAGGCACTGGTTGGTGAAGATGGCTGAGGGGGGCATCGCAAGCCACATGGCTCAAGCATCGAGCACCCACACACTTTTCTAGGGTGAAGTGAGGATAGCAAAATTAAGTTGGGTATGGCCTGGGAGGGAGGCGGGGCCTGGTCTTGGGGCCTTCGATGCCGGGCTCAGGAGCTACTACTGTTCTGTGGCCCACGGGGAGCTGTGGAAGAGCAATGCTAGACCCTAAGAGACCATCTCACCCATCCAATATATGGTCACACGAATGACTTGTAGTATTAAAGTAAAAGTGGTAATTCTAAAACATTATTAAAAGTTAGGTAAAATGATATTGTAGTTGGAGAAATAATTGGCTTAGAATCCATTGTCTTCGTAAGATAGATAAATAAATAAATCTCCTGCTCCTGAATCCCTACAGCTGGCAGCTGGCTCCTCAAGGTGTCACCCCCCATGGGCAGGTGGAGTCCAGAGGCCCCAGAAGGCCTCCCCTCCCACCACTGAAGAGCAGCCCACTGTCCCAGGGCTGCTGGCAGCACCCCAGGCCTCCTGGGGGTGCTTCTCCTGCCTGGAAGGAACGCCCAGCCCTCAGAGGCCAAGCCCAGTGTGAGCCAGCTGGGGCCTGGCCCTGCAGAGTCCTCCTCTGGCTCAGACCTAGGCCACCCAGCAGGACACTATGGCACTCCCAGGCTCCACGGAGAGTCCTGTGGGCCCCATAGACCCTCATAGGTTCCTGGCTGTGACTCCCACCAGGGGGTCTGGTATCCTCATTTAGCCCCATTTAACTTAAAACAGATTCAGGCTTATTATGGGGTGGAAATGGGAGGGGCTCGGGGACCCAACCTCGACTGTTTGTGTGCCTGGGAAACTGAGGGGGAAAAGGACTCCTCCCACCCGAGGCTCAGTGACCCCCCCATCACCCGGGGGCTGACCTGGAGGCCACTGTGGGCAGCTGCATGACCCCCGCGGCGTCCCGGGCTGAATGCGTGAAGGCACAAGGACCACGAAGCGCTGGACATCCAGCCACGTTTATTATAATTATTCTCCTGAGTTTATGGGGGGTCTTTCAAATTCTTCCCCTGAATCAAAAGAACTTCCTCAGCCCTGTGCCCATGAAGTGGGCAGCTGGCACAGGCCACCTGAGCAACATCCCTGGGTGAGAGGATGGAGCCCCCAGCCCAGCGCTGCCCCCTCAGTCCTCCCCAAAGAAACCTCCCATGCCTGGATCTGCACCTGCGCTCTTGACTGCGGCCACCTCTGCTCTGCCCGGGAGCTCGTCCCTCCTTCCTTGTCCCCTCTGCTCAGGTTTCTTGGAGCTCCCCTCAGGGGCCCCCAGCCCACTGGCTGGGCTCCGGGTGTCACCCAGGAAGTTGCTTTGCCGTTCCAGGTGGGAGGTGCACTCTTCCTGCCACGTGTCTGGACGGGCACTCCCGATGGTTCTGGAATGCTCTGTGGGCCTCTGACCCGAGCCAGGGCGCCGGCCGAGGGGGTTCCCACCAGGGTTACCCCAGCCTGGAGCAGCCGCGGGGCCTGTGGACCATGCTCAGGCCTCAGCCTGCCCCACGCCCGGCTGTGGCTGCCCGGACCTCCCTCTCCTGCCCGCCCACCTCCAGGAGAGGCGCCAGGCCGGCTCCTCACCAGTACATCTTCATGATCTCGTGCGTCGAGGGGCAGTAGCGGGCGTGGAGCTGGGCCAGCAGTGCCCTGGACGTGGCCTCGAAGCGCGTGCCCTGGCTCTTCTTGTTCCACACGTGGACAGCGTAGGTGGCATTGAGCAGCCGGGTCAGCTCCTCGGGCCTGACCTCCTCAAAGTACCTCTTCCAGCTCTGCCAGGGGACAGGGTAGAAGGCCTCCCGGGGCAGGGCGGTGACCCCGCGGCAAGTGTGGCTCTCCCCCAGGCTACGGATGGAGCACCACTTCTTGAAGACCCGCGTGAGCAGCTGGGGCCCCTGGTGGCCCCATATCCAGCCGTTGTAGTGGGCCACGAAGTCCCGCATGCACAGAGCCAGGAACTCGTGCTGCCGCTCGAAGGCCAGGAAGGCCCCGTTGAGGACGTAGCGGGACTGGGTGCCCAGCACGTTGGTCAGGTTCCTTAGGTTCTTGAGGACGATGAAGTCCGTGTCCAGGTAGATGCCGCCAAACTTCCAGAGCAGCGCGATCCTGGAGGCGTCGGAGAGCACGGGCAGCAGGTAGGGCTCCCAGCGCCGCCGCACGGCCCGGTACCAGGCTGCCAGCGGCGTGTCCCGGAACAGCTCCTCCAGGTCCAGCGGGAGCAGCTGCACGTTGGGGAAGCAGCCCAGAAGCGAGAGGCCCAGGTGCCGGGGCAGGGGCGCCTGGCCACCGGGAAGCCCCTTCATCAGGACCACCACCTGGGACTCGGGGTGGGTCCTGGCGGCCGACTCCACGGAGCACATGAACAGGAAGTTGGGGTTGGTCCGGTCTGAGGTCTCCAGGAAGAAGATGTTGCCTGGAGGGGGGGTGCTGGAGGACGGGGCTGGGGGCGTGAGTGGGGGGCAGGGGATGTCCACAGGCAGGCTATAGAGCTGCCCTTGGTCCTTGGGCTCTCCCACAACATGCCAGTAGATCATGACAGAGACAAAAAACGTGAACTTGAAGCCGATGATGAACAGGGTGCAGACCCGCTGCCTGGGGGTGCCCCGGAGTAGCCGCAGCAGGCAGTCGGAGGGCTTGGGCATGGTCTCCCCGATCACACAAGGAGCCTCCCGTGGGAACTGGCTGGTCTGCAAGAGATGAGCACCGTCATTCAGGCAGGCCACGTGCATCCCCAACCCGCTAGAGAAAGGCCTCCTGCGGCCATCAGCCCGAGCAAGGCCAGTGTCCAAGCCCAGCGTCCGGGCGGATCCCAACCAGCCGGCTGCTCACCTGGGTTGGGAGCAGTGGGCCACAGACTTGCTCTCTGTAACAAACCCGTGACCCCGGAGGATGGTGTCACATATGGTGTGTAGCCATGCAAGGACTCTCGGAAGTGACGGCCTTGCTACCCGACACACAGGCCTCTGCCTGGTGAGGCCTGTCTCCCTGGGCCTGCTGGGGTGGGCAGCCTGTCCTGTGAGAGCCAGCTCAGGCTGCCCTTAGATGCATGACCAGGGCAGATCCCCACAGGCCTCGCGGATGCTGAGCGTGAAGATGGCAGCTCAGGCGACAGCCTGTAACCTTTACTGGTACTACTGCCTCTGGACCCCCAGTCTTCCCTGGTGACCTTCATATGGCCAGTTGCTGAAACAAGTGGCTGGGAGAACAAGACAGGCTTGAGCCCTGTTCCCCAGGGCAGGGCGGGGTGAGCACCTGGGAGGCACAGGGCACCCAACCCTGCCTGAGCTGGCAGTGAGACCTGGGCAAGTCATCGAACTCGGAGCCTCGGTCTCCCATCTGCAGGACAGGAGCACTGGAGGCCACTGGAGAGTCACATTCTTTTATTCATTCAGTAGACACGAATCTTCCCCTACAGGCCAAGCGACTTCTTCCATGCGGGGGCCATGCTCATCTCTGACTTCCAGATGAGGAAAGGGAGGCACGAGACTCTCCAAACCTCACCTGGAGTCCCAGAGCCACAAGTGGCAAGGCTGGGGACCATGAGCTCACAGCTGTACCACCTGCCTGGAGGGGGCACAGGAAGGTGCCCAGTGTGTCAGAGGCACTTGGACACAGTGCCCTGTTCCATATTCACTACTAACAGCAACTGACCTCCTTATTCCACACCACGTTTACAACCCTTGGAAAGTCCCAGGAACACCTGCATCATTTTTCTTTAAGGGCTAAGAAACATGGGCACAAAGGGGTAGAGAGACGGCTCAGGCTGGATGCTAACAGGAGCTGGGAATCAGCTCCCTCCCAGGACAACTGGAAACTTCAAGTGGCTGCCCCACCGCTTGAGGGTGGTGCTGGGAGCTTGGGGCTTGAGCAATAGGCTGGACTCCCTGGGGTGGAGGGCAGGGAAGCTCGACCACTTCTCTGGTTGCAACTGACCAGCCTGGGCAGCCCACTGCAGAGAGGCCGGGATCTGCGCAGTCTGCAGGCCTCCTGGAGACATGCCCGGCTCAGCAGCTGGCCTTCTCCGACAACGGGACCGTGGCCTTTCCACACACTCTTGACGCCTGCACGTTCATCTGCAAAAGATGGCAAGAGACAGAGTGAGGCGGGCTGCAGGCTGTCTGTTCCCTTGCTCAGCCCTGCAGGGAACGCTTGCAGGGTCAGGCCCTGTGCTGGGCCTGGGAGCAGGAAGGAATTGGACAGAGGCTCCCCTGCAGGAGCTCTGGGCCTGGTGGGGGACATTTGGAAACAGATGGGACAATAGGATCAATGACTCCCCAGGGGAAAAGACATTTGGACGGAGCACCAGGGTGAGAAGGCAGAGTGTGTTGGATGGAGGAGGCAGAGGCGGGTCTGCAGCTCCACAAGACTCACGGCACAAGAGTGGAGTGTGGGGGACCCTCTCTCCCCAGTGCCCAGCAGGGCGCCAGCACACAGTATGCACAAAGGAAGTCAGTAGTTCACTGGCTCATCATCTCGCTCTCTCATTGACTGGCTCACACCTGGCAGCCAGAGAGATGCTTTAGAAGTCAGAGCTGGGTGCAGGGGCCAAGGGCAGAGGATCACTTGAGCTCAAGAGTTCAAGATCAGCCTGGGTAAGATAGCCAGAGCTCATCTCAAGAAGCCAGAGTCAGCCCGGCACTGTGGCGCACTCCTGTAATCCCAGTGGCTTGGGAGGCTGAGGTAGGAGGATCAAGAGTTCAAAGCCAGCTTCAGCAATGGTGAGGCGCTAAGCAACTCAGTGAGACCCTGTCTCTAATAAAATACAAAACAGGGCCGGGGATGTGGCTCAGCGGTAGAGCACCCGCCTTGCACGTGTGACGCACTGGGTTCAATCCTCAGCACCACAGAAAAATAAATAAAGTATTTTGTCCAACTACAACTAAAAAAAATTAAAAAAAAAAAAAAAGTAACAAAATAGGGCTGGGATGTGGCTCAGTGGTTGAGTGACCCTGAGTTCAATCCCCAGTACCAAAAAAAAAAAAGAAGCCAGAGTCAGGCCCCACTGCTGGAGGCCCACCACCAGGCCCTGCGCGTGCCCCCCCCCCCCAAGTCCCACCTCTGCTCTAGCCACACGGGGCCTCCAGCTCTGACTCAGGTCTCACGTAGCCACCACCATGGGGCCCTGGCACCTGCCACTTCCCTGCTCAAAACGCTCTCTCCACAAGTGTTCTCACGGCTCTTCTCAGACCTTCACCCCCAACTCCTCTCCTCACGGAGACCCACCCTAAAATTCCAAGGCCGCCATCTGAGAGCCCTGCTGCAGCCGACCCTCCGGGCGCACATCCTGACTCGCGTCCCCCCTCTTCCTTGTTTCGCCCCTGTGCTTGGAACAGGGCTGCATGGGGCAGGTGTGCTGGGTCCAGGACTGTGCCTGGCTCTCGAGGTAGACTCCACAAGGGCTGAGCGGGAAGGCTGGGGCGCAGCACCCATGGAGCACGCCGAGGCCCGGGTTCCCTGGAGAGCGAGTCGATGGACAGGGTGGACCAGGGGGCAAGTGAACAGGAGCCGTACCCCACAGGTCCTGGAGACAGAGCCCACTTCCCCGTCTTGTTCCTGCAGGGAGGGAGGCTAGTTTGGTCCTGAGCATTTTTAACCTAATGTGAGCCACACTGCTAGGTGGGACAGACAGGTGGACGGACAGCCGGGAAGCCTCAAGCAAGGCCTGGCTGCTTGGGACCCTTGTGCCAGAAGGATCTGAGTCCACCGCGGGGTGGGCGGGGGCTAGGTCTGACACGGGGACAGGAAATGCTGCCCGCACCCTCGCCTGACCATGGCTGGGGGTGCCAGGCTCGGGTGGCACCATATATGGTGCCGGAGCCCATGACCCAGGAATAGAAGCTGTGTATGGGGCCAAGTTGGCCACAGCCCAATACCCGAGTGACCTCAGGCTCAAAGCATGCTCTTGGTCCCCTAAATGGGCTTCGCAGCTGTGGCACAAGTCCTGGTCCTTGTCAACCGGGCCTGGAACACCCCTGCCACCTCCTCCTGCCTCCAGGCTTCCGGCCCTGTGGCCAGCGAGCGAGTTAACCTTGTCACTTTGGGCCCTTCCGCGGCTCCCTGTTGGGAGGACCCCCACTCCCATGATTCATCTCAGGTAAGAGCCAAGGGTGAGCAGAGCGAGGTGGTGGAGAGGCCTGGACCCACCACGGGGAGTGTGGACACCGGGGCCAGGCCCCAGCACAGGGAGAAGCTTTCTAAGCTGGCGGTCAGCACCTCTCAGGGCCCGCATCCACGTCTGCTTCCCCAGGAAGAGCCCCTCTGGCCCTCTCTGGGCTCCCATGTCCAGCCTAGCTCAGGCCAGCCCTGGCTGACCGTGGCCCAAAAGCAGAGTCATGGGGATGGTCAGACCCGTCCACAGCAAGCCCCACGAACCCCACCTCCACGCTGAGTGGCTCCCCGAGTGCCAGCGCTGGGCCCTGGGAGAGCCAGATGTCCTGATGGGGACATGGAGAGGGAAGGGGACTCAGTCAGGCAAGGGAAGAGCAGGGCCTCGGGCCTCGGTCGGGGGGCCTCCACAGCTCCCTCTGCTCCCTGCGGGCAGCGTCTGCACTTTCATAACCTTCTGGAGGGACGCGAATCCCCCCCCCCCCCAGTCTCCATCCAGCGAAGGGAGAGGAGAGAGGGCGGCCAGTTCTTAGTCAGGCTGGTGTCAACCTCCTGTGGCCGCCCAACAGATGGCCACAGACTTGGTGGCTTAACACTGACATTCTCTCACAGTTCCAGAGGGCAGGAGTCCAGCGTCAAGGTATCAGCAGGACGGCGTTCTCTCCTCAGGCCCCAGAAGGACCCTTCCTGCCTCTTTTGGCCCCTGTTGGCTCCGGGCATGGCGGGGCCTGAGGCTGCCCTGCGCCGGCTCTGCCGCCTTCTCACCCCCTTGTCCAGCGTCCCCTCGGTCTCTTTCGACACTCGCCATCAGACTCACAGCCCAGCTGGGTAATCAGGACGAGTCTCTCATCTCAGGACCCTTAATCACCTCCGCAAAGACGGCTTCCCACCGAGGTCACACTCGCAGGTGGGTCAGGACACCCGGACTGTTTCTGAAGCTCTGTTGGTCCCACCATGCTCCGCCCTGGAACCACCCTGAGAAGGGAGAAGGTCTGTCGGCAAGTCCCAGGTGGAGAAGCCGAGGCTGCGGCAGAGAGCGACTTCCTCACGTCACAAAGGATCAGAGGCACAGTGGGGTGAGGACCCAGGGCCTGACCCTGGAGCCCAGGGCTGCGTCCCTCTCCGTGCACCGATGTCTTGCAGTCATGGCTTCACGGGGCCCCTTCTCAGAGGGGCCCTCCTTGGCCACTTGGCCTGAGTGGCCACCCTCCGCCCCCTACTTCTGGTCACTTCGTGGGGTGGAAGCAGACTGAGACCAGGGGAGCCATGTATGGGGACTGAGTGTCCTGGGACTGTGAGGGTGAGGGCGCAGGACAGGCAGAGGGAGACCTGGGCCGAGGTGGCCCCATAGGAGCACTCAGAGCAGCCCCTCAAGAGACGGCAGTGAGGGCCACGCATTGGAAGCCTTTTCTCTGACAGGATGACCAGGCGGTTTCTTTGTGCAGATCTATCAAGGGGCCGGGAGGGAGGGACATTCAGGGAGCATGACCCTGTGGCCCTCTTACGCCCAAGGCCAGCAGCATGGAGCCTGGCCTGGCCCCTCCCTCTTTATCAGGACCCCCAATTCTCGAGATTGGACAGAGCACACGATCCGACCCCATAGTCACCCAGAGTCCCCAGGCCACATGCTTCACAGTTTCCCTTCAGATCAGGACTTGGTGTGGGCAGCCTGGGGGACAAGGACCCTGCTGACACTCCTGGGTTCCCCTCCCAGCCCTGCCACATGCCAGCAGGACAGGTCACCTCCCTGAGCCTCGAGTTCCTCATCCGTGGAGAGGGTGTACCCAGGCCCAGGCCGCCGGCTACTGTGGGATTCAGTCTGGGGAGGGTCTCAGCCAGGCCCTGAGCTCAGGTGCGGGGTCCAGGGAGGACCCGGGCAGGGTGAGGGCAAGGGAGGCTCAGGCTCCTAAACCACCTTCTCTGCCGTCCTTGCTTCCAGGGCCCCACCCCCTTGGGACCATGTGGCCTTGATCTCCACTGACAGGGCAGCCCTCTGGGGACACAGCACGGTGGGCGCCCTCCATGGCAGCAGAAAGGGTCCGAGGTGACGTGCCAGTGTCCTCCAGCAGACAGGCTGGTCTAGGTTTTCCCGCCGCGTCCATCCTTCCTTCTCTGTTGACAATACCCGGTTCCACCCCCGACACTGACCCCACTGCGGGCTTCCAGGATGGACACTCAGTTCAGGTCTGGCTGATGACTGCATTCCCTTGGCCACAGTGACGGGGTCAGGGAGGGACATCACCCAGGCCAGGCCAAGCAGAGGCACGCGCATTCTCATGGGGTCACTGAGCTGTGAGCCAGAATCAGGGACCTGCCAGGGTGCAGCTGGCCCCACGTCAAGCGTTGCCAACAGCTGGAGAGAAAGAGACCGGGTGGCTTGTCTGCACCTGAGCCCCACTGGACCCGAAGCCAGATCGCTCCTGGGCTCGTCCTGTCAGTAGAACATTCTCCTCCTCAGTTTGAGCCAATGTGCACTGGATTCCCACTCTCACAATCGTGAGTAATTTGACACACACAGGAATAGCAAGGACAGGGTCTCCTCCAGGGGCCATGTTCCAGGAACTGGACGCTTGAGTTAAAAGAGTGGTCAAGGGCCACTTTCGTTGGCCCATAAAGTGTGATTTCTTTTTACCAAGAAAAAGTATTTATATATTTTACCACAGAAAACAACCAGGACACTTTAAAACATTATCTGCGAGGCAGCACCCCAGGCTCCGGGCTTGGACTCAGCCTGGCTTTGAGTCCAGCAGAGCCAGCTGCTAGCGGGTGCTGACCAACGACCCCTGCCAAATGCGGACAATCACAGTGTCCTCGCAGAGTCCCAGGAGGCTTCGCGAGCTGCCTGGTAAACAGTGCCCAGGTGAGCGTGTCAGTGCCCAGGTGGGCACAAGCCCACGCCAGGCCTCTGCTCGTACAGAGCTTAGTAAGAGCCTGGGCTGCTGGGGACACGTGGGTCGGGGAGGACCTG